TACTGCCCCTGGTTAGGGTACTCTTGGTTGTCATCCTAGCTCTTTTGCTTCCCAGAACCTCATATCTCAAGCCCTCTGCTCCCTCACAATGCTAGCTGACAAGTCTTGTGTACTCCTGACTATGGCTCCATAGTATCTGAAGGGTTTCTTTCTGGCTACTTGCTATTATTTTTTCCTTGCTCTGGGGGCTCTGTATTTCGACGATAATATTCTTGGCAATTCTGATCTGGGGATTTCTTTCAGGCACCGACCAGCGGACTCTCAACTTCTACCCCGCCCAGCGCTTCTGAGATATCTGAACAAGGCTCCTTTGTAGCCTGAAATATGCTGCTGAAGCCTTGTGGTTGCTTGCTGCTTTCAGTTAATCCACTGATCCTTAAATTATCCCTCCTCAATCTATTTTTCAGGCCAGATGTTTTTCCAGGGAGACAGTTCATATTTTCTTCCAACACTTTCCAGTCTTTGGACTTTGTTTTATTATTTCTTGATGTCTCTAATAACTCTTGATGATACTAATGGAGTCATTAGCTTCCATCCGATCAACTCTAACTTTTAAGGAGCTATTTTCTTTGGTGAGTTTTTATACCTCTTTTATCAAACTTAATTCTCTTCTCATAATGTTCTTGTATTGCTCTCATTTATTATCCCAGCTTATCTTCTACTGCTCTTATTTGATTAAAAAAATTTTTTTGTTCTCTTAAAAAATTTTTTTAAACTTTATTTTCATGCAAATAAAGTCAGATCTAAATAACTGGGAAAACACCAATTGCTCATGGGCAGGCCAAGTTAACATAATAAAAATGACAATTCTACCTAAGCTAATTTACTTATTCAGTGCCATACCAATCAAACTACCAAAAAATTATTTTATAGAGTTAGAAAAAATGATAACAAGATCCATTTGGAAGAATAAAAGGTCCAGAATATCAAGGGAACTAATAAGAAGAAATGCAGGGAAAGGTAGCCTAGCCATTCCAGATCTTAAATTGTATTATAAAGCAGCAATCATCAAAACTGCTTGGCACTGGCTAAGAAATAGAGTAGTGGATCAGTGGAATAGGTTAAGTATGCAAGACACAGCAGTCAATGACTACAGTAATCTATTATTTGATTAACTCAAAGACCCCAGCTTCTGGGATAAGAATTCACTCTTCAACAAAAACTGCTGGGAAAACTGTAAAAGAGTATGGCAGAAACTAGGCATAGATCAAGATCTCACACCATATACCAAAATAAAGTCAAAATGGGTTCATGATTTAGATATAAAGGCTGATACTGTAAGCAAACTGGGAGAGCAAGGAATAGTTTACCTATCAGATTTATGGAGAACAGAAGAATTCATGATCAAACAGGAGATAGAGAACATTATGAAATGCAAAATGGATAACTTTGATTACATTAAATTGAAAAGTTTCTGCACAAAGCCAGTGCAACCAAGATTAGAAGGAAAGTAGAAAATTGGGAAAGAATTTTTACAACCAGTCTCTCTGATAAGGGCCTCATTTCTAAAATATATAGAGAATTAAGTCAAATTTATAAGAATACAAGTCATTCCCCAATTGATAAATGGTCAAAGGATATGAACAGACAGTTCTCAGATGAAGAAATTAAAGCCATCTATAGTCATATGAAAAAATGCTCTAAATCACTATTGATTGAGAAATGCAAATCAAAACAACTCTGAGGTACCACATCACACCTATCAGATTGGCCAACATGACAAAACAGGAAAATGATAAATGTTGGAGAAGATGTGGGAAAATTGGAACACTAATACATTGTTGGTGGAGTTGTGAAATGATCCAACCATTTTGGAGAGCAATTTGGAACTATGCCCAAAGGGCTATAAAAATGTGCATATCCTTTGACCCAGCAATAGCACTTCTAGGGCTATATCCCAAAGAGATCATACAAATGGGAAAAGGACCCACATGTACAAAAATATTTATAGCAGCTCTTTTTGTGGTGGCAAAGAATTGGAAATTGAGAGGATGCCCATCAATTGGGGAATGGCTGAACAAGTTGTGGTATATGAATGTTAATGGAATACTATTGTGCTGTAAGAAATGATGAACAGGCTGACTTCAGAAGAACCTGGAAAGACCTGTATGGTCTGATGCTGAGTGAAGTGAGCAGAACCAGGAGAACTTTGTACACCATAACAGCCGCATTGTGTGATGACTAATATTGATAGACTTTACCTTCTCAGAAAGACAAGGATCGAAGACATCTCCAAAGGCCTCATGATGGAAAATACTATCCACATCGAAGGAAAAAACTACAGAGTTTGAATGCAGATTGAAGCATACTGTTTGCTATTTTTTTTTCTTTTATTGTGTTTTGTTTCCTCTTCCTGGTGGTTCCTCCTAGTTGGTTCTAATTCTTACTTACAACATCACTAATGTGAAAATAGGCTTAATAGAAATGTATATGTAGAGCCTATATCAGATTGTGTGCTGTCTTGGGAGGGAAGGTGGGGAGGGAGGGGGAGAAAAATTTAAAACTCAAAAGCTTATGGAAGTGATTGCTGATAATTCAAAATAAATTAATTTTTTAAAAATCACTTTCTTTAGCACTTCTAGGAATTCTTCTTGAACTTGTGTTCAATGTGCATTTTTCTTTGAAGCTTTGCTTACAGGTGCTTCCGGGCCATTATTTTCTTCTGTCTTTTATGTCTTGAACTTCCCCACTACCACAGTTGCTCTTTATTGGCAGGCTTTTTGTTTGCTTGCTTGCTCATTTCTCTAGCCTATTTCTGACTCTGAATCTTTTCGAGTTGGGCTCTGCTTGCTCCCTTGGAGGGATGGAGGGATGACTGGCCTGAGTTTCTGTCTTTTATGTCCTTCTGCTTTCACAGCTAAGTTCAGAGTCTTTAAGTTTTTGGTGCTTCTAAAGCGGTGTGCTCTGGGGAGACGGCATTCTCGTCGCTGCTCTCCTGGCCTGCACATTCCTGACCCAGTCTGCAGTCTCATTTTGTGAGTGGCTGAATTTCTGCAGCCCTCTGGGAAGATCCGCACCTTCAGAGCCACTGAATTGCTGGCTCCAGCCTTGGCTGTGGTCTCCTGCGCCAGTCTGTTCCGCTGCGGGTTTATGCGTGGGGCTAAGGCTCGAACACAGGGCCCACGGTGCTCCTGGGCTCAGGGCCACACAGGCACAGTTCCTGGACTTGATCCTGCTCCCTGCACCTCAGCCATGACCACTCCTCTCCACCATGCAGCTCGGACCCAGCACTGGATAACTGGCTGCTCCCTGCCATGGCTGCCACTGCCACAGTCCCCTGCCACACCTCGGCAGCTGCTGTGCTATGCTCCTGGCCAGCCCCCACCCCAGTGCCCAGAGACATCTGTCTTCCTAAGCTGCCCAGGGCTGGAAAAATAACTCCCTGGGACTTTTTCTTGACTTCCGCCAGTCAGAATTACACCTGGCGCTTTTGTCGTTGCAGGGGAGGACGAGAAGGAGCCAGGGCAGAACTGCTGGCTCTCGCTCCGCCATCCTGACTCTGCCTCTCTGAGAGTGTGGCATCAACAGTGGCACCAAGGTCGCAGATCTGGGAGAACGGAAGGACGGTGGGGACCAACACTGTACTAGGGGAGTCTGGAAGAGAGGCAGCTTTCTCTTAAAGGGATCTAGAAAACTTGGTGATTTAGAATGGCCTATTCCGAAGCTTTCAGACAGGTAAGAATTTAGACGAGGATAAGAACTGCACCTGTGACTTCACTGATCTAGGGAATTCCAGGTGAGCAAACTCCCTCTATTAATGCAGGCTGCCACCAACTCTGCAGTATGGGTCTCAGAGAGCTGCCAGTATCTGGCAGAGCTTGGGCTTAAACCCAGGACATCCTAGCTTCGAGGCTCCCACGGCACCATGTAGTCTCAGACAGAACTGACTTTAAGAAAAATAGAACTCAATACACAAAAAGCAGACTTTCACATACTTTTCCACAAAGACATCAACTGTGTCAAGTTATGGCATCTGGTTGTTTTTTCCATATTTTGGTACCTTGCTTGAAAACTACTGGACACAAAAAGGGTGTTCATCAATTGGGAATAGCTGATCAAATTATGATATATGAATATAATGGAATACTACTGTGCCATAAAAAATGACCAAAAGAATGCTTGTGCTGAAAGAGGGAAGACTTATAGGAATTGCTGCAGAGTGAAGGGAGAGCAGTGGATAGAGCTCTGGCCTTGGAGTCCAGGAAGACCTGGGTTCAAATTCAACCTCAGATACTTGACAACTTACTGAACAAGTCACTTAACCCCAATTGCCTCATCAAAGAGCAAAAAGAAAATTAAAAAAAGAAAAAGAAAAAACCAACTGAGGACAATCACACCACAAAGAAAGCCAACTTGGAAAGACTTCCCAACTCTGCTCAATAACCAGTCACAAGGCATGGATGATGCCATTTTCTATCCACCTCCTAACAGAGAAGGGATGGCCTCGTGCACAATGAGGCCAACCTTTCTGGACACAACCAGCGTGGGGATTTTGTTTTGCATGGCTACACATATTTTCTTTTGGGAGAGAAAGGGGTGGGATCTCTAAAAGTAAGGGGAACTAGAAATAGTATTGGCAAAAAAAGAAAAGAAAGCCATTGAAGCACATTTTAAATGAACAGAAGAAAAGCGAAGGAATTTCAAGAGGAAACAAGGACAGGCAGGAAGGCTCTGAATGTGACACACCAGACTTAACATACCGTTTTAGAAAGCAAACTCTCTGTAATATTCTCTCTCTTATATTTTGTGTACATAGATGCAGTTTTTAAAAGAGGTCTGGCTCTCCACAAAGGAAAACAACAGGCAGATGACCACTGCCGACCGTCTGGCCGATAAGAGGCTGGCAGAAAAAGCTGGCCCATCAGTACTTAAGTACTGGACAAACGCTGAACATGGACAACAAAAAAGCCCAGAGTTAAACAGGAGGAAGAAAACAGGCTGGGCGCCACGGGCAAACTATGCAACAGCATCTCTGAAAACACAAAAAGGAAAGAGCTTACCTGTCGATAGAATTTTTCATAGACTGGGTTTCCACTTGACAACTACAAATTAAAAAAAGAGAATGTGCATTGAGATATTGCTTTTAATTCCTTATAATTACTTGTTTTTTCATGATCAAATGACATTTCACTTGCTGTAATGGGAAGATAAATACATACTGTTACATGAAACATCCCTCTCCCAATTCCAAGGACAAGTAAAAAAGTTCCTTTTCTTTCCAACTTTCTCTAACAGCACCCATCACTCCTCCTCACTGGGCTGTCTCCCAGGGCCTGGCAGATCCAACTCCATACCGACCAGGACACAGGCCCTGCATCCTTCTAAAGGCCCAGCTCCCTTTGAGGCTCCTTTCCACAGCCAGGTCTTGCTTCCTGCCCCACCCCCATCTCTTAGTGCTCTCCATCATCCCCCCTCACCCCCCACCAAAATTACACCAGGATGTCTTCATAGAGCATCTGTATTTACCTAATAGCACCCATCCTGTTACCCCTGTAACAAGTCAGCTCTTACGGGCAGATGGTCCAGGGGTATTTAGAATGGTACAGGGCTCTGGGATGCCTTCAGCAGAGGGAGGAATGTGGCAGTCGGCATCCAGCTGACAGCAGGGGTCCTCCACTAAGTGGGAACCGGGCAATAATGGGGAAAAGGGAGTTGGCCGGAGAAGGGAAAAGTCCATGGCTCTAGTCATCCCAGCTCTTACCAAGGAGTCATCCCAGACTCTTCACTCTGCTGTTGCTGTCTCACTGATTCTCCCACCAAAGCATCTCGCTGCTTGGACAGCCACTCACTACCAACCGCGAAGCGCCTGGCCTCTCCCAACAGCCCAAGCCTGGCCATGCCCCCATCCTGCTCAAGAGCAGCCCAGGCCCAACAAGTAAGTGCTTTACGAGAGCTCTCACTAGCAAGAAGCTAGCTAAGACATTTCAGAAGCTGTCTGTGGCCTTTGGGATAGAACATAAAGTCCCTGCTTTGGCTCCAGGCAGTCACTCCAGACAGATCTCTTCGCTCCAGCCAAGCTACCCCTGGACCTGGGAACGCACTCTCATCTTACTTCTACCTGAAGGAAGCCCCAGCTCCTCAGCTCCAGGGCCAGGTCCTAGAAGAGGCCTCTTCAGATCCCTGGCCTCACCCCACCCCAATGACTGTATTACCTTCCTATGTATAGATTTTGTGTTTACTTAACTGGATGCATGCTGTTACCACTGGTAGGAAGGAAGCCCTCTGAAGGCAGGGACCGTATCCCCAGCACCCAGCCCGGGCCTGGCATCAAGCAGGTACTTAATAATACTTGAAGTGAATTCCTTTCATCACTCCCAGTCTGACAGCCAGGCACAAGGCCAATCCCTCCTTCAGGTGACAGCCCCCAAAGCCTTCGCCTCTCCTGGGTGAACATGTCCAAGTCCTTCAATCCTACTATGGCAACATCTCGAGGGCCTTTGCTGGGCCGGCTGCCCTCCTATGGACTCTCTCCAACTCCATGAACCTCCCCAAATGTGGAACCCAGAACTGAACACCCTCCAACCACGCCTCCCCGGCCCACAACGGCCCAGAACATCCCAGAACATCACGCTTCCTCTAAGGCAGGTGGGTGAAAAGGACAAGAATGGGAACTGAGCATGGGCTGGGATCTGCACATTTGGAGAAGGACAAGAACAGTATTCACAAGATCAAAGACCGTTTACGTCCTTAAAAGGACACACCGTCTTCCAGCCTTTCCAAGGGAAGGGCACACCTACATCCCAGCGAGGGGACTCCGGGGGCCAGAAGGCAGGCCTCTGTTGGGCTGCTTTGAGATGGACTGTCAACTACTCCTCTAGTCCTTAAAGGAGGAAGGTCAAGACTCGGTGGAAGAAAGAAAAGATTTCTTTTTGTTCGCTTTGTTAAGTTTTAATGGAATGTTTCTCTTAACCCAACTGGCACCAGGCCAAATGGTCTCAGGCTTCCATATTTCCAGGATCTGCCACTGCCCTTGTGGGCACTCGCTCTGCTAAGGTCTTGTACAGATGCTCTGAGGGGCACAAACCATCCCCACCCTGACTCTGCCGGCCTGGTGACTGGCTGGGCCACCCTCGGGGGCTGCTCCGACTACACCCCTCCTCCCTGCTACTGCGCCGAGGACACTCCCCACCACCAGGTGGCCCCCCAGGGGTGGGGGGGGGCCTGAGCTGGGTCTTCATCATACTGACTGCATTTGAGAGCTACGAGAAACCTGAGAGAGAGAGCCCAGCAGCAGAATCCAGGTAGTCACAGGGTGCCTAAGGGATCTGCCCAAGGTCTAACGGTGAGGTATGAAATCATCTTTAAATAAATAATTATCATGAGAAATGGCTGCATTTAGCTTCTTAAAATGCTTCCTTTTTTCAATAGTTGGCTTAGGTACCCCCATTCCCACCCAGAAGTAACACACTGCCACCAACACTTCCCCCATCCCCAAAGTGCCAAGCTCTGTTTGACTTCTCAGAGCACCCTCTAAATTATGTTATGATTATTTTTGTGTGGGGTATGATGTAGAAGAAAAGGCTCTGGACTTGATGTCAAAAGACCTGGGTTCAAATCCTGACTGCTATTTATACTTATTTGTGACTCAGTCAAGTTTTTACTGTCTCTGGGCCTCAGTTTCCTCGTCTGTAAAATGAGGGTGGGGGGGGCGCACGTCAGACTAAATGACCTCTAAGATCTCTCCCAGCTCTAAATCTTCTAACTACATGGCCTTGAGTATCTTTTTTCCTTTTAAATCTTATGACTCGATGAAACAGCAACAGGGTTTGTGTGAGTGTCAGGCTGATAAAAAGACAGGAAAAACCCATCCCACAACCCAGGTAGTAGACACTGTCATCTCTGCATAGCCCATCATTTGGAGGTCTGTTACCCCCAAAATACCAGCTGTTGTACAGACGGTGAAGAATTCAAAGATTTTCCTCAAATCCCAAATTACAGAATGTTGGCCCAGGAAGGAACCTTAAAGATTATCTAGCCCACCCCATCATTTAACAGAGGATAAAGAGGCCTTCAAACTTGTTTAAGACCCTGCCTCTCAACTGCACCCCCAAACCCCCCCACACACCTGAGGACATCAGTGCCAATGAGGCCTAGGACCTGGCTAAGACTGCTCAAAGTCTTTAGATTCTGCTGGTTTCATCCTACAAAATCTATAAAATCATTTTACATACAAACAAGTATCCGAAATAAAAGGGGCGAGACAGCCAAGATATCTAAGGAAAGCAAGATGGCATGAAGGAAAGAAGGGAGGAGATCACAGCGGCTGGGAAAGCCTCGAAAACGATGCTCAGCATCACCACATCACAGACAAAAAGGGAAGTCTCTAAACACACTGATAAATGACAAAAAGGTGAATGGCTTCCTCTTTCTAGATTCAGCTGCATTCCTCCAAGCAGGTTTTAGGAATCTCCGCAATGACTCACTCCTTAGAAATGTTTATAGCAACGGACCAAACGTGACAAGGAGTTTGTTTCTTGGTAACAAGTTAATAAACTGACACAATTCTCAAACAGTCATTAAACTAGGAACCTATTTCAGAAGATTTTAATAGCTGAAAACTTGCAAGAGCTGAGCTGGAGCATTTTTGCAGGTAACAGTAATAGCATTTTCTGAAATTAGAGCGTCTAGAGAAGTGTTAGGTTGATCCATTTACACAGCCAACAAGTACCTTGGATATGGACAGGCACACGGATGCCCACCCTGGACAGACACTCTGCACTGGAAATCAATTTTCTTCGTGACAAATGATCTCTAAAGCCCCTTTTGGCTCCTCTCCTGGCCCAGTTCCTGGTTTCCTGGACTTCAAAATCATGCCTCTTCTGCTGTCTTACATGAGAACTTCCCTCCCACCCCAGCACCACCCCAGCAGTCTGCTCACCACTGACTATCCCACTCCACGGTCCTGTTGATGAGGTCTTTGAGAGCCTCCATTTGGGGAGGGACCCAAGCCTGTCTGTCTTCATTCCCCTCCCAATTCTGTTTTGGACCTTCTGGGACTTCAGAATCATGTCCTGATGCAGGTCCTTTCTCCCACCCCTCTCCCCAGCCCCCCTTTTTTGTGTTTTAGACCCCAAGGGCAGGGACTGGCCTTGTGTACTTGTATCTCCAGCACTTAGCACAGCACGTGGCCCCAGAGGATTTAATAAATGCCTTTTCATTCATTCATTCACTCCCTAATACACGCCTTGGTGAACAGAATTGGGCCATCAGAGAGTGAGTGATATCTGGGGAGGGCAAAAGTAGCTTATAAAAATACCTGCTCAGGGAAAGCTGGTGACCCACAGCAATGGAGGGAAGACTCACACGTGGAATAGTAAGAATAAAGGACTCACTCTTGTTCTAGTCAATCTGCCAAGCATTTATCAAGCACCGACCTGGTGGCAGGTACCATGCTGGGGTGGGGGGGGGTCCAATGGATCTGTGGTCTCCTACGGACCCGCCCCCCAATGACACAGACTACAGTGCACGGAGCGCCTTCCTCCAGCTCTCATGACCTTGCACGGGCACCAATGGAGCACAGCAGCGGGCCCACTCGCCCTTCCTTCCTATCGCCCAGCACTTCACCGACCCACCTCTCTCTCGTTTTACAATCGACACCAAGCACAAGCACTCATCGTTGCAAAGGCCTTCGTCAGGTCAGCCAGGGACAGGAGGCATTTTAAGAAGGCCAACGGGTGTTTCAGTGGTGCTGGGGGAAGGAACAGTGACTCGGAAGAAAGAAGCAGCTACAGCTCGCAAAGTGCCAGCAAGGCTGAAAGTACAAGTATTCCCATTTTACAGATGATGAAACCGAAACTGCGCTCTTGGGGGACACAGTAGTCAACATGAGAATCTACACGAGAAGCAGCACCAGCCAGGAACAGGGAAAGGGGCAGAGAGGGGGAAGGCGAAGGAGGTAGAGGTGGGCGCAGTGGCCAAGCTCTCTATGACCTTAGAATGCCAACCCATCAAGGATCTGTCATGTCCTCAGTGGCAGATGGTCAGCATTCTGTGACTCAGTAGACAGAGAAGTGCCTGGAGCTCAGAGAGCCAAGGGGACGTG